GTGCTGGGTTAGAAAAGTTTAAAAAATAAATGTCCTTCTTTTATAAAAACTTTTTTAAAAAGAAAGAAAAGATATTTAAAGACAGTGTAGCTCTGCTAGAGTAAATCTTCTCCTCACTTGACACCACTGCTGGACTTGTGGCAGGCGAAGAAAGCAGGCCTGTGGCTTCTTTGTCTTCCTGCCCTGCAGGATCCTATGGCTCTGGTCACTTTTTCTTGCACCGTGTCTCAGGGATTAAGCTCTCTTATCTTGGGCAGAATACTGAGGAATGGTGACCTGTGTGCCCCGGATGTGTGGAAGAATGTAAATGAGCAGCCTCGTGCTGTAAGTAATGGTTCTGGCTCTTCCATTGTCATCGAGCATCACAGTGCCTGAGCTAGGTGCCCATGGTTCCAGATGAGAAACCAGGCTCAGGTTCACTCCAAACATGAATCCTGGACAGGGAATGTGGAGACATCTAGGAAGTTGGCATATTGTTGTGTCCCAGGCCATTACCAAGTTCTGTTAAACATTACTCCCTAAGTAGTTCTCTAATCTGTTCACATCTTGACATCAGCAGTGCTACTTTTCCTGCCAGGCTCTAAGGTGATGTCCTCCTTACTGGTCTCCACAGCCCTTCTATGCCCCCTGGTCCTCTTTCCATGCAACATCCAGGGCAGGAGGAACATTTAAATCTGAACATGTCAACCTGTCAACCATCATTGCTTCTCTTCAGTGGCTGTCTAGAGCCTTTGCAATGGAGACAGAACTCATCAACATGGCTCACAGGAACCCACATGGGTCCCTGGCTGTCCCATGGCTCCCTTTTCCCATCCCTTTGTCCTCTGTTCTAGCTTTATCAACCCTCACCTATTAGCTTATACTCACCTTGTCCCTTCTGCCACAGGGGCTTTGCACTTGCTCTGCCTTGTACCAGGGCCATTCCCTTTGGAATGGCCCTACTAAATAACTCCTACTAAACCTTCAGAACTTAGTGTCTTAGTCATTTTCCTCATTTCTGGGACATAATATTTGATACAGGTTAAAAGTGGACAGGTTTATTTTGGTTCACACTTTTAGTCCATAGTTGACTGGCTCCAAGGCAGGAAGGCACAGAAGGGTCTGGCAGAGGAAAGCTGTTCATCCCATGGCAGGCAGAAAGCAGAGGGCAAAAGGAAGAACCAGGCATCTGAAATGAAAAGACACTTTTCAGATGAAGAATTAGAAATGGCAAATAAATATATGAAGGGCCAGGGATTTAGCTCAGTGGTGCTGTGCCTGCCTCACAAGTGCAAGGTTGGGAGTTCGATCCCTGGTACCAAAAAAAAAAAAAAAGGAAAAATTTTCAACATCACTGGTCATTCATGAAATGCAAATTAAAACAATGCTGTGATTCCATCTCACTCCAGAAAGAATGGCTGTTATCAAGAAATCAACCAATAACAAATGCTGGAGGGGCTGTGAAGAAAAAGGAACCCTTCTCCACTGTTGGTGGGAGTGCAGACTGGTGCAACCACTGTGGAAATCAGTGTGGAGATTTCTCAAAACACTAAAACTAGAGGTTCCATTTGGCCTAGCTATAGCTTTTCTTGGTATCTTCCTGAAAGAATTAAAAGCATCATACCACAGCGATATATGCACACCCATGTTTATAGTGGCACAGTTTGTAATAGCTAAATCTTGGAAACAGCCCAAATGCCATCAACTGATGAGTGGATAAAGAAGATGTGGTTTTCTTATACAATGGAGTACTACTCTGCCATAAAGAAGGATGAGCTTCAGACATTTATAGCTGCATGGATGGACCTTGAGATCATACTCTTAAGTGAAATAAATCAGACATACACATTTAAATACTGCATTGTTTCTCCAGTGTTTGAGAAACTGAAAGTGGAAATAAGGACTGAGATGTATAATGGACGTTGGGAAGTGGGAAGAAAATGTTCAAATGGGAAGAGAAACAGGGGAGGAGGGAGGGAGAAAGGAAGGAAGGGACAAGAAAAAAGTGAAAATAGAAGGAAAAAATGGAAACAAAGCTTTTGTACCGAGGGAGGGGAGGGGACTTGAGGGGGGGAAAGGGATACAATTAAATTAAATTTATTATTTTTTAAATTAGCCCTATTACCAACAATATTTATTATTTATGAGGTTTCTTTCTCCTCATTATGTTTTCTTTGATGCTGAATAAGCTGTGAGCTGTAATGATAGGTTTTCCCACATTCACTACACTTATAGGGTTTCTCCTTAGTGTATAGAAGTCAATCTATATTCTCAAATATAGAGTAACTTGAGAAGTCTGTCTGAAAGTTTTCCCACATTCGTTGCATTTATAAGGTTTCTCTCCAGTGTGGACTCTCCAGTGATCAATGAAGTTTCGATTAGAAGTAAAGGCTTTCCCACACTCATTACATTTGTAAGGTTTCTCTCTATGATGAAGTCTGGTGTTCATGAAGGGTCTTACTTAAGATGAAAGCTTTTCCACACTCATCGCATTCAAAGGGCTTCTCCCCAGTGTGAATTCTCTGATGGTCCATTATCTTTGTATTAGAATCACATGTCTTCCCACATGCCTTACATTTGTAAACTTTCTTCCTTTGTGCATTCTCTGATGTTGAGTGAGGTTTGAACTCTGGCTAAAGGCTTTCCCACACTCCTTACATTCATACATCTTCTCCCCACTGTGGATTCCCTGATGCCGGATGAGGTGGGACTTTCCGCTGAAGGATTTCCCACATTCACTACACATGTAGGGCTTCAGCCCAGTGTAGATTCTCCAGTGAACCGCAAGGTTGGAACTATGACTGAAGGCTTTCCCACACTCCTTGTGCTTATAGGGTTTCTCTTCGGTGTGGATTCGCTCATGCACTGTGAGGTTGGCACTCTGACTGAAGGCTTTCCCACACTCAATGCATACATACTGTTTCTTCTCAGCCGCAACTCTCTCATTTGTTGTGGGCTCATCGCACCAACTATCATCTTTTTCAGATTCTTGGTCACTGACAGCAGTGTGTGTTTTGTTGTCCTTAACTGTCTTGTTTTTGAAGCTTCTTGTCTTTTTCATTTTCTCATGCTTGGAGCATTCCAATGGTCTCTCTAGTCTTCTTCTTCCTTTCAGGGAGCTTTTGAGAATGTGACCTCCTTAGCAACACTTCTGTAGGTTCTCTTGAGAGTACAATGTAATTCAAATTTTTCAAGAATAATGCTTTGGAATCAACTCCTCCTCAGAGCCAGTTTCACCACTGAGGCAAGCTGTAAGCCTTTAATCTCCAGTGTCATTTGTTTTGGTCCCTCTGAGCAAGGGTCACATGGTCTTTGGTCATTAGCTGAGTGAAGAATAGGAGGAAACACCACGAGTGCCACCAGCACATCTTGGAATGGGGTGGAGGAAGAACTGCTAAATTTATTTTTAATAGGGCTGGGATTTAGCTCAGTTGTGCCACATCTGCCTAGCAAACTTAAGGTCCTGAATTCAATGCCTCGTACTGGAAAAAAAAATTATTAAAAAAAAATCAGAGTCTTGTAGGCTAAGAATTTATTGTTTTGTTTTGTTTTAAATAAAGTATAATGAAAAACCAAAAAATAAAAAATAAAAAAACCAGATAGGCAGAATGATTCAATAAGCAAGATCTAGAATATGCTGCACGTTTAATTCAAGAAAAAATTCATAGACTGAATGCCAAAGGTTGGAAAACAATACTCCAGGTGACAGCAACCTGAAAAAAAGCAGGGGAAGCTATTTTATTTGCAGACAAAGTGGATTTCAAGCCAAGACTGACTAAGAGAGACAAAAAAGTCACTACATCCTTGTAAAGGGAACAATCCAAGAGGAAGCAATGACGATCATAAACATATATGCACTCAGTAACAGTTTACCCAAATCTATAAAACTATTCCTTCTCCATTTAGGTACAGGAAATAGATAGCTAGATTCACCTCTCCAGGGTAAATAAAGCCCAAGCCTCCTGAGACACCAGAAGATGAAAAAGAGTGACTACGAATGTCCTACACCTGTGAACCTGTAGCAATTGCAAGTTTCTTTTCAGAAAAGAAAACACCAACCACTCTGTTGAACCAGACAAGTAAAATGGTTCGCTCCTTCTAAGTAAATGTGTGACTAATCTTGTTACTGTCTCGTTTGCTACACTTAAGGTCCCTGTTCCAAGGTATAATATGACATCTTTTGTTTGTTTTTTCATTTCTTTTGGGATCATCCTGGATTATTCAAAGACTGCCTCTAATAAAGACAACAAACAGCGACTACTTAGATGAGACCTTAAAGCTAATCACATTTTTCTCCTACCATCAACAGCCACCTGTTGACAGGCGAACGTGCCCAGAGGATTGCCGTCCTTCAAGACCAGACAGACTGACTAGCCACAGTGGCCATACAACATCACAGGGCCCCAGATCTCCTAACAGTAAAACCAAGGGGCTGAGTTTGTTCCCTTAGAGAAGAATGTAGTTCCTATGTCAATAGGTTCAACATAGTGTAAGATACAGGACAAAAATTGGCTGACTGTGCTTCCAAGATTTGTGAATCGTGGATGTCCTGGCCAAATATCAGGGATTGGGGGTCTTGGTTACTGCCCTGGACATGGCCTTTATTAATGCTTCTTGTAACCTTACTATAGTAAGTCCCTGACTTATGAACGAGTTCCGTTCCAGGAGAATGTAAGTTGGATCATTCCTAAGTCTGACAAAGTGAGCCTTAGACACCTTTGACACAAATATTCACTGTATATTGCTTTGTGCTTCCTAGCAGTCCCCTCCACATCACCACTGCTTTTCCTCTTGCTTCCTGTTATCCTGGGTTCTGCCCTTGTGCTTGCCAGGCAGGCGGGGTGCCACTGAGCTACATCCCTGGCCCCAGTAACTTACTGTATTTAGACCTTACACACTTAATCTTGTAGTCAAATATCTTTCTGCTGCTGCTGCTTCTTTTTTTTTTGAGACAGGGTCTCACTATGTAATTCAGGCTGGCCTTGAATTCATAGTGATCCTCCTGCCTCAGCCTCCTGAGTGCTGAGATTACAGGCATGCACAACCACTCCTGGCTTTTTCTTTCTTCTTGTTTGACAGCCATCAAACCACTGGTGGTATCATAACTCAAGATCAGAACCTGCTTCCATAGCCACCGTTCATCAAGAGGTCCTTGGAGGAAAAGCTCAGCTCCCTTGAATTCGTAGATCAGTCAGAGCAAGAGTTCCTTGGTCTCGGTGTGGGTAGCACCCTGTCAATTATCCCTGTTAAACACACCTAGACGGGGGCGAGGGGGATTTAGCTCAGTGGTTCCGGCGCCTGCCTCGAAAGTGCAAGGTCTTGAGTAAGATCCCCGGTACCAAACAAAAAACAAAAAAACCCACCTAGAGTCAGTGGGAGGCACCTAAAGCAGAGGTGTCTGGTCTTTAAATTCTGGAAGCCTGAGATTTCACCAGCCCCCTTCTTCCTGTTTCTGTTGCTTTTCTGTTCCCCCAGCACCTTTCTTGGTCTGTGTTACACCTTTGTTGGGACGGACTGGCCCTGAACGCAACTTCCCATGATCTTCAATAATAGCTGCTTATTACTTACTACTGGGTGTAGGCTTGGCAATTCTTTCCCCTTCATACACAGGAACCTGGACTATTATTGGCCCGTTCAACTGTAACACCTTTAGAATACAAGTATGTTAAGAAGTATTTATTCATCCTAGGTCCAGGGATTTAGCTCAGTGGTGTCGCACCTGCCTCACAAGGTCCTGAGTTTGATCCCTGGTACCGGGGAACAAACAACAAAAAAGAAGTATTTATTCATCCTTGACACCTGGGCTGAAGTTGGAGCTGCATTTCACCTGTGACTGGAAGGAGCTGAATAAAGGAAGGTCACATGACAATAAACATGGCTCCCTCTGCTGTTGCCCCTAGGGCACAGACGCGGTGGATCTGGCTTGATGAGTTAGACTTCAGTGCACACAGGCCAGGCAGATATTGGCCCCATTCTGATACACCCAGTAGGCACTGACCCGGCTCAGTTCATAGGTAACCAACTCCATGGACTGTGAAGACTCTGCCCTGGAGGTGCCATGCTGAGCAGGGGCCCTCACCAGCCCAGAGCCTGTTCCTTAGGGACTGTCCAGCTGACTACAGCTGCTAGGGACCCAGAGTGGCTCTGGGCCCAGGATGGTGGCACGAAGAGGGCTCCCAGATGAGTGACTTGGGTCCTGTCTCTGAGCTCACTGTGGAGCGCTGCACCTTTCAGGGCCCAAGAGGTCCTCCTTCCTCCTCCTGGGGTCTGGCAGTCTCTGGCTTTTGCTTGTTTGCAGTTTCTGTCACTGTGGGCCCTAGCAGCTGCAGGAAGGCTGGGACGCTGCTCTGGAGTGCCACTGTCTGGCGGCGAGGAGCAGGAGCCTGCAGTTCCCAACACCTTGCCGCCCTTTGACCCCTACCCTCCCTGGGATCCTTGGCCCTCCTCCGCCTCCCTCCTTCCTGCTGGCTTCTCCCTCCTCATTGCCCTCCGTGCTCCTGCTCTGACTGCTGGTTTCCCCAGCTCACTGCCCAGGCCGGTCCTTCCATGCTGTCACCGAGCCCTGTATCCTGCACATCTCCCAACCCGGACAGGGAGAACCCGAGCAAGAAGGTCCAGTGGGCTTCACAGGGGAAGAGAAGGACATCATCCACAGACTCAGAGTCCAAGTCCCACACAGACCCCTGCAGGCTGGCCAGGTCCCGGAGGCCCAGCCGGCTGACGGTGAAGTACGACCGGGGGCAGCTGCAGCGCTGGCTGGAGATGGAGCAGTGGGTGGATGCACAGGTTCAGGAGCTTTTCCAGGTGGGTAGCACCTGGGCCAGGGGATGGGGACCCTGCCCAGAGAGCTGCAGAGGAGCTGAGGGCTGATGTGAGATGGGCCCACGGAGGGAGGGTGGGAGGGAGAGGCCTTGGGTGTGCCTCTATATTTGTGATCTGGGGGAGATCTTTCAGCATCCTTGTGACTCACTTTCCTTATCTATACAGTGGGGCTATTTATGCCTTTTATATGTTTTTGGTATAATTTTATTATTATTATTATTATTATTATTATTAATTTTGGTCTGGGGATTGAACCCAGGGCCTTCACACTGAATTACATCCCCAGCCCGTTTTTCTTTTGAGACAGAGTCTTGCTAAGTTGCTAAGTTCCCTGGTCTGGCCTCAAACTTGCAATCCTCCTGTCTCAACCTCCCAAGGCAGTGGGATTACAGACGTGTGCCACTATGCCTGGCTTGGTAAGATTTTTTGAGCCTCAATTGACATAAAGGGAGCATGCTTAGCCAAGCTATTTTGCCCTGTTTCATGTCTTAATTTATTTACTCTTATCCTCAACACACAGACATATCTAGAATTACATTGTCCTATACTGTAACTATCAGCTATGTGTATCTACTAGCTTTAAATAAATTAAAATTAAATAAAATTAAAAATCCAGGCCCCCGGTCACAGTAGCCATATTTCAAGTGCCTCCTAGCCCTCTGTGCCATGTTGTCCATATGGATGTGAACATCTCTACTCTTTCCAAAGGGATGGCACAGGGCTGGAAAGCAGTAACCAGGGGAGAGTGCTGATGCCACGACCAGCTCGTGTGGACCCTGGGTCTCCATCTCCAGGCACCACCACCCACCCTGTGGAGAGCTGGGTCTTGGCTGCTGGCCTCTGGATGTGGCACCTGCTTACTTAGACATCTCTAAATTCGGATCCCAGAGTAGTAACAACTTTGTCAACAAGAAGAGCTTTTGAGTACTTAACTATGTGCTAGGCACATTGCCGGTCCCTGACATTTGTTATTTCATTTAATCTTCCTAACAACTCCATTGAGTAGGTGCTATTTTACAGCTGGAGACTGGAGGCTTAGAAATCTTAAGTAATTTGCCAAACATCACATGCTAGGAAGCTACAGGCCCTGGATGTCCACATCTAAAATACTTAGAGAAAACCCTGATGCCCAGCTCCATCCCAACTGAATTGAAATCCACTAAAGTATGGCCCAGCCCTGGGCAGTTTTTAAAAGCTCCACAGTTGGTTCTAACATGTGGCTGAGCTGACAAGCACTAGACCAAGCCTGAGACCCAGGAGTCCTACTTGTCCACATATGAGGGGCTTGTTTCTCCTCTTAGCTCCGGCCCTGGCTTTTTTTTGTGGAGGGTGTTGAGACAGTGTCACATAGTTCAGGGTGGCCTTGAACTCACTACATAGCTCAGGCTGGCCTTGAACTCAAGGCAATCCTTCATCAGCCTCCCAAGTGCAGGGACTACAGGCGTGAGCCATCTTTTCCTTTTGGGAGGTAAAGGCCTGTTATCTCGTGGGTAAGGGTAGTCAGTGGTCCTCTGGTGTGTGTGGGGTGATGAATGGGTCCCAGCTACTCTTGCACTCACTGGATCATGTGTCACTTCATCTGGCTTTGACCATATACCCTGCGGCATCCTGAGCCTGCTTATGGAGGAGGGGACGGGCCTGCAGCTGGAAGCTGGGAAGGCAAACTTTCCTGCCTCATTCGGCTCTGACCTTGCAGGGCACCTCCACTGCCCTTCTCTACTTTCAGCACTTCCCCTGGCTCAATTTCTTTTTTATTTTATTTTAATTTTAATTACTTTTTATTGAAAACTACACTGAACACTGAATGTCCACCTTGATAATAAACACAGTAATAACTCATACTAAAACAAAACATATACGACTTCTGATCACCATTATTTTTTTTATTTGAGACAGGTTAAAGTTTTTCTTTTGCCACAGAAACAGGAATGTACCTATACAAATTCTCAGGATAGGCCACCTTTTTAAACAAAAAGGTAGTGATTCACAAAGGACCAAATATTGCAGAACATTTAACTAGACGATATGCATCTAATAGGATGAACATAGTCACATCTAATAATACATCTGAAGTGTTCATGTATAAAATAGCACATGAAGAAAATATCGTTTTTGTTTTTGTTTTTGTTTTTTGAGATAGGGTCTTGCTATGTAGTCCAGATTGGCCTTGAGTTCGAGGCTGGCCTCGAACTCACAGTGATCCTCCTGCCTCAGCCTCCCCAGTGCTGGGATTACAGATGTGCACCACCATTCCTAGAAGTAAATAATTTATTTTTTTTTTTAATTTTTTTGAAGCAAGATCTCCTTTGTAGTTCAGGCTGGCCCTGAACTCACTATGTAGCCAAGGCTGGCCTCAAACTCATGGCGATCCTCCTGCCACAGCCTCCCGAGTGCTGGGATTACAGGCATGCGACACCACTCCCGGCTAGAAGTAAAGAATTTATCAATGTCTAAAAAAGTGGGTTTATTCATAGACATCTGACAAATTATCATAAAAAGTGTTTTCTGAAGCATATGGAAATGTAACATTATTATTTGCTTTGATTTGTTTTGTTGGGACAGGATTTCACTATGTAGCCCATTCTGGCCTTGAACTTGCAGGGCTCCTCCTGCCTTAATCTCCCAAGTGCTGGGTTACAGGTGTGTGCCACCACACCCAGTTCACATTATTCTTTTTGAACCCTTACAGTTCAAGACTTTCCACTCAGTAGAATAGCTAAGGATTTGAAACTGAGTTGAGTACACTGTGTGAAATTTAATACTTTGTTTTTCCTTCCTTCCTTCCCTCCTTCCTTTCTTTTTTTTTTTTTTTTCTATGCATCATCAGAGGGTATTACTGAACTAACATCCAACTTGCCCACTTAGTCTGCACTCCAGATGTGAGACAGACTTCTGTGTACAGGAACCTGTACTGTATTCAATCCTATGTGTGTAGACATCTGATACAGGCAAGCAGTTTTCTCCCAATTTTGTAGTAATTTGATCTTCCTATTAGCAAAAACAGCTAATACCCTGGCTCAGTTTCTGTTTCAGATGATTCGTTGTGCACCTGCATGGAGTCTCATATTTCAGACACTTCAGGGCACATCCTGCCAGGTGGCAGAGAAAGACAGTGGCCAACAAACTTTGATTTGCAAGATGAAAGTGGAGGAGCAGGAAGCTGTACAGTAATGAGCCCATAACACTGGAAAACAGGCTGTGTGGGAAGACCACACCCAGGCAATGACTGGAATAAAAAGCCTGGCCTGTGGTTGTCATGGTGATTGTCCAAAGGTGCCAGGTGACAGTTCCTCTCCCAATACCTGGCCTTTTCAGCAGGAAGTAGCCAAGTGCTTGGGCAGGTCCCACATGGCTGGACATCTTGGGCAAAGGTAAAGGCAGTACACTGTCCAGCCTTACCCTTTCTCTGATCTAGTTCTGGCTCTATGGAGTCCCACATGCTCACCTTGGGAGGCATCACTGGGAATGGTTATAGGGATATCAGAGGAACCAAGTCGGGGATCTGCATCTCCTGTTGTCCAGAGGTAGCTTATGGATTTGGCTTCTATCCAGGGGCTTAAATACCCATGCATTTCTCCTATGTCAAGGAGACCCTTGTTCAACAACATGCCCTGTCTAGTTATCATCTCCTATTTCTTGTCTCATCATGGCCAGACACCTTAAAGGATTTGTCCACACTCACAGGCTTATTCACTGTTTCCCTTCCTGTCACCATTCAGTACCCTGAAATCTGGGTTCTGCTCCTACACTCTACTGAGAGCTCTGCTAGAGGCCACCAATCACTGCCTTGGGACTGAATATAAAGCACAGATTGGCAGGAGACACTGTTGGATACCCTAGGGCTAGGGCTTTTTTTTTGGTAGGGGGGATCGAACTCAGGTCCTTGCGCTTGCGCAGCAGGCAGTGAAACCACTGAACTAAATCCCTGGACCATAGGGCTTTCAAACATCCCTTTCCTGTAGCCTCCATGACAGTCTTTCCCTGGTGAAGGCTGGCATTTTGACACAGCCCTTTTGATGTGGTGACATTTTTAAACTTATCTATTATACTTCCAACCTTAAAAAATTATTATCAATGAAAAAAATATTGTTGATGCATATGTGAAACAAACATTTTCTTTTTTTCTTTTCTTCAAATTTTATATATTTATTTATTTTTTTGGTATCAGGGATTGAACTCGGGACCTTACCCTTGCAAAGTAGGTGCTGGAACCACTGAGCTAAATCCTCAGCCCCCCCTTTTTTTTTTTAAACAAACATTTTCTAGCTCATCTGAGCCTTACTCCATTGGTGGTCTCCATTAGAGATTAGGAGTAAAAGATTTGTGTGTGGAGTAGAGGTTGGAAAGGGGGTCAAATTAGGCAGCATCTGGCAGGAAACACCAAATATAATTCAGTCACAAGCTCACCCCACTTGTTCATCTCAGCAATGCCAAGCACTGAGCTGTATCTCTAGCCCCCTTTAAAAAAATTTTTTTTTAAAAAAAATTTGAGACAGGGTATTTTTTATTTATTTATTTTTTGTACCAGGGATCAAACTCAGGACCTTGTGCTTTCCAGACAGGCATGGTGCCACTGAGCTAAATCCCCGGACCCAGGGTCTTCTTTTATTGTTGTTAAAAATGGGATTCCAGGGCTGGGGATTTAGCTCAGTGGTTCCACTGCCTGCCCTGCAAGTGCAAGGTCCTGAGTTCGATCCCCGGTACCAAAAAAACCCAAACAAACAAACGACAAAGAAATGGATTCCCTGATTTTTTTTGTTTTTTTGGTACCGGGGCTCTTTTTTTGGAACTCAGGTCCTTGCCCTTGCGAGGCAGGCGCCAGAACCGCTGAGTTAAATCCCTGGCCCTGAAAGCTCTTTTCGATTCTGTTCTCCCTCCCACCCTCCTGCCATGATTCCCCCTCTCATCTTTTTACCTGCAGTGTTAAACAGGCTTTTGGTTCCATCCAGCAGAGTTTTCATTTAAAATATATTTTATGGGCCCAGGATTTAGTTCAGTGGTGCCACTGCCTGCCTTGCAGTTGTACCATTTGGCTCTTATGTCCTCCCTTTTTTCTTGTTACTGTGCTCATATTTTTCTTATCTGCTAATTCCATCATTTCTGTAATCTCTGGGTCTGCTTCTGTTGACTGTTTTTTCACACAGTCAAGGGTCTCTTGCTTCTTGGTATGACTAGTAATTTACATTTATTTATTTATTTATTTATTTATTTATTTATTTATGATGGTGCTGGGGATTGGACCAAGGGCCTTGTGTTCTGGATTTGGCAAGTATTCTACTGCTGAGCTACACTGGAAGCCCAACTAGTGACTTTTGAGTGGATATTAGACATTGTGGATTTTATGTTGAGTAGCAGGATTTTAAAACAATCTTCCTTGAAGGAGTGTTGAGCTTTGTTCTAGTAGGTGGTAAAGTTATTTGTGGTTGAGTTTAATCCATATGAGGCTTGTTTATCATTTCTGTCAGGGATAGTCTAAAGTAGCCTTTAGTCTAGGGAGTAATTTACTCCCCCTGAGCATGACCCCTTATGTCTCTACTGAGTCCCTGCGTGGTCAACAGCAACTGTCCGCTTGTTTTGGTTTTAACTTGCCTTTTAGTCCTTCGTACCATCTGGGAACAATGTAGACTTTGAGGTACTGCTTTCAATGCCTCATACTACTTGATATTGGGAAGTTTTACTTTGTGAATGTACATTTTCATGTTCCACAAGGATTCAAGAGATACAGACTTCTGGAGGTTTCTTTCTGCATAATTTCCTGTAGAACTTTGTCTGGCAGCTTCTAGACCCCTCACCCTGACTCAGCCCTAATCTCTGTCACGTCAATTTACCAAGACCCCTGTTCTCTGCTGGGAATCTCCCTCTCTGCTCTGTGGTCTGGAATCTACTCCAGGAAGAAATGTGAGGCAGTTCTAGAACTTACTTCTGTTTCCTTTCTCTCTGGGACACAGTTCTAAGGTAACTATTGTCCAATGTCTGAAAATATGGTTCATAGTTTTCTAGTTACTTAAATTAAAAGAATAAATCTGGTCCTTGTCATTCCATCCTGACTAAGCATATACAGTGTATCTGTTTTGTTTTTTTTTTAAGAGCAGGAAAAATTTATTAAGAGAAAGATAGCTTCTGTCTAAGAGAGACAGAAGGGGGACTGGAAAATGGGTCGCCCCTCTCTGGTTTATTTTAGCTTTCAGATCTCAAATTATATGTCACTTCTTCCAGGAAACCTTCCTGAATCCCAGGCTTAATTAGGTTGTCTTTCCCCAGCCCCCATCAGGCTCCTTCATGAGTATTTAACTGCCATTTCACTCATCTGCATCCAGCAGGAAACTAGAAACTTTTTTTTTTTGAGATGGGGTCTTACTTTGTAGTTCAGGCTGGCCTTGAACTCACTATGTAGCCCAGGTTGGCCTCAAACTCTCAGCAATCCTCCTGCCTGAGCCTCCTGAGTGCTTGGATTACAGGCATGTACTACCACGCCTGGCTTCCAAACTATAAACTTTAAGGGCAGGATTATGTCTGTCTGTCCTGCTGGCCTAGCCTGAGTTTGGCACGGAGTATGCACTCCATATATAGGCATAAAATAAACAAACGAACCCTGAATAAGATGAGCTAGAGATCAAAGACGCAAAGGGGGAAAGTCTAGAGCTTAGGGGAAAGTGCTAATTAAGCATTATTTATTTTTGAAAAGGTATGGAAGGACCAGAAGTGTTAACACTGGTTACCTCTTGCACTGAGGAATGAGAAGATAGGTGAGGTTTCTTTTCTTTCATCTTTTTTATTTATTTAAGTGGACAAAATTAACTTTATTCAGTTGTAACTGACATAGAATAAAATGTGCTCGTTTGAAGTGCTCAGTTAGATACATTTTGCCATATGTAACTACTACCCTAACAAGATAAGGAACATTTCCATCACCCAAAAAGTTCCCCAAATAGCACTTGCCTTTAAACAAATGATATGCTTTAAACACTTATGTCTGTTTCATATGACTTACTGACTGCCAGTGATACGCTGTCATTTTTTTTTTGTACCCGGGATCAAACTCACAACCTTGCGCTTTTGAGGCAGGTATGGTGCCACTGAGCTAAATCCCCAGCCCTAGTGATATGTAGGTTCTTTGCAGCTAGGGTTTTTGTTTTGCTCACTGAAGTTTTTGTTTGTTTGTTTGTTTCATTACCAGGGTTCAGGGATCGAACTCAGGACCTTGCGCTTGCAAGGCAGGTGCAGTGCCACTGAGCTAAATCCCTGGCCCATCACTAAAGTTTTGAAGTTTACAGTGCCAGTTAAACAGTAGCAACTGAAAACATACTTGTTGGATACATAGGTTTCAAAGGATGAAATAAGCAAATGGAAAAGGTGAAATTTTCAAACCACTGAAAAAATGGAGCCACGTTCAGGGACACAAGCCTGCAATCCCAGTACCCTGAGGGGCTGAGGCAGGAGGATTATGACTTCAAACCCAACCTAGGCAATTTACTGATTTAGTGAGACCCTGTCTCAAAATAAAATAAAAAACTGGCAGTGGTGATGAACACCTGTAATTCTAAAACTGAGGAAGCTGAGGCAAGAGGGTCTCACGAATTGGAAGGCAGCCTGGGTTACATAGTGAGTTCAAGGGTAGCCTGAATTACATAATGAAACCCTGTCTGGAAAAAGTTAGTCAGTGTCTGGGGATGTAGCTCAGTGAAAAGGCCCTGGGTTCAATCTCTAGTACTGAAGAAAATAAAAAAGTAAAAGCAATTAAAAAGTGTTATCCAGGGCCGGGGATTTGGCTTAGTGGTTTCGCCGCCTGCTGCACAAGCGCAAGACCGGAGTTCGATCCCTGGTACCAAAAAAAAAAAAAAAAGAAAAGAAACAATTGCAGCCAGATATGGTGGTGGAGCACACCTGTAATTTCAGCACTCAGGGTGTTGAGGTAGGAGGATCACTTTGAGTTCAAGTCCAGCCTAAACTACATAGTGTGACTGTCTCAAAAAAGCAAAACAGGGGCCGGGGATTTAGCTCAGTGGTTCCGCTGCCTGCCTTGAAAGCACAAGGGCCTGTGTTTGATCCCCAGTACCAAAAAAAAAGCAAAACAAACAAACAACAATACTCCCCCAATCATACACATTAGCAGTCACACCTCCCAGCCCATTTCCAGACCTACGTGTAATTTTGTCTCTATACATTTGCTGATTCTGAACATTTTATATACACTGACTACATGAAAATATGTGGCCTTCTGTAACTGACTCGTTCATGCATGTCGTAGCATGAATTGGTACTTTATTCCTATTTATTGCTAAATAATACTGTACAGCTACACTGTATATATATTTTTTGTTGTTGTTGATGGTGGTGGTGGTGGTGGCGGCGGTGGTGGTGGTGATTGAACTCAGGACCCTTCGCTTGGCAGGCAGGTGCAGTGCCGCTGAACTAGACATTTTGGTTGTTTTTGTTTTTTGCCTGTTGTGAATAATGCTGGTGTCAACATTCATGTGCCAGTTTTTGTGCAGACTTTTTTTCATGTCTCTTGAGAATAGACCTCGGCATGGCATTGTGGGCTCAGGTGGTATCTCTATTTCACTTTTTAAGGAACTGCCATATTGGTTTCCAAATCAGCTGCACCAATTTATACTCCTACATACAATGTATATAACTCTGACATAAAATATAAGACGTTCTTGCCAAGTGTAGTGGTTCACGTCTGTAATCCCAGTACTTGGGAGGCTGAAGCAGGGGGATTAAAGTTTGAGGCTAGTCTGGACAATTTAGTGAGTCCCTGTCTTAAAGAAAAAAAGAAAAGCTGGGGATGTAGCTCAGTAGTAAACCACCACTTGCCTAGCATGCATGAGGCCCTTGGTTCAATCCTTGGGACAGAGAGAGAAAGAGAGACTGAAGTTGTACTTGACACTCCCTGTCTTAATCTCCAGTACTGTAAAAATAAATAAAAACAAAACAACAAAAAGAAAATTAGGCCCAGGTGTGGTGGCGAATACCTGTAATCCCAGTCCTGGGGGAGGCTGAGGCAGGAGGATTGCCATGAATTCTAGGCCGGCCTGGACTATGTAGTGAGTTCAAGCCCAGCCTGGAAGACATAGCAAGACCCTCTCTCAAGAAAAAGAAAAATAGGGGCCAGGGATTTGGCTTAGTGGTTCTGCCACTTGCCTTGCGAGTGCAAAGACCCGAGTTCAATCCCTGGTACCCAAAAAAAAAAAAAAAAAGAAAAATAGATACTTTTTTTTTTTGTTTTTTTGTTTTTATGAAACAGGGTTTTGCTAGGTAGTTCAGGCTGGCCTTTAACTCACTGGGTAGCCCAGGCAGCTTCAAATTTGAACTGATCCTCCTGCTTCAGCTTCCCAAGTACTGGGATTACAGGCATGCACCACCACACCTGGCAAGAATAGACACTTTTTAGGGTCTGGGGATTTAACTCAGTGGCACCAAGTGTGCCTCGCAAGTGCAAGGTTCTGAGTTCGATCCCTAGTACTGGGAAAAAAGAAACCAAAAAAGAATAGACACATTTATTTATTTATTTATTTGGTACCGGGGATCGAACTCTGGTCCTTGTGCTTGCGCAGCAGGCAGCAAAACCACTGAGCCAAATCCCCAGCCCTACACTTTTTAAAGAACCCTAAGGTGGCATATGGCTGTTTGGTAAATGTTTGTGGAGTGGTAATGAATGGATACTCTGAGTAAGGTGAGGAGCAAGGGCTGACCATGGGACGTCACAGGGCTTGGAGAAAAGTGAGTCCTTGGAAGTAACCCATGTTGTTCCCAAACAGGATCAAGCAGACCCCTTTGAGCCAGAGATTGACCTGGAGGCTCTCATGGAACTTTCCACCGAGGAACAGAAGACTCAGTTGGAGGTGGGATGGGAGGCTGGTCCCAGGGGCTGGTGGCTGGGCTTGAACCCAGGGCAACCCGGGAACCCAGGCTTTGGTTCCTTGGGTGGGAGGGGAGAACCTATTTGGAGGGATGAATGTGTGGGAAAGTGCTGTGGCTTGGGCATCCACTTTACCCTTCTCTTCTACCTAGGGCATTCTCCGAAACTGCCCCCGGCCCACTGAGGTAAGGGATGTTTGGCTGGTCTGGAGGTGAGAGCAGGCCTGGGGGAGGGCTGCTAATGAAGATGATGAAAAGGAGCATTGGAAAGGAACACTCAGCCCTGTTCCTTCTGCCCTTTTCTGGCTCTGGGGAGGTAGGGTCAGGGAGTAGATTAGGAAGGGCAGGGTGGAGGGTGGCTGTGACCCCATGCCTTGATCTCACTCCTGTTTACCCCTCAGCCTTTTATCTCTGAGCTGCTTAGTCAACTCAAAAAACTTCGGAGACTCAGCCGGCCTCAGAAGTAAGCCCGGAAAGACTGTCCATCCTCGGCAGCCTCCGCACTGCCAGGCCTGTCATGACCTCCTGGATCCTGGCTGAGTGGGAAGCAGCTCCTTGGGACCCAAACAAGGACCAAGGAAGATGAAGGACACTTGTATACCTTGTGTGTATGTGCAGTCACGGCTGTGTTCTCTGGGCTGGGCTCTCTCAAGCTAGTCCTAGCTGTTGCCCAATGCTTTCCTTGACAGCCGTATGGATAAAAACTTAAGGAGACCCAGCTAAATGGAGTGTGGGCTGTCTGTGCTGAGGGGAGGGAGAGTGTGAAGTGAAACCCCAAGACCAACATCCTAAGACTGTACCCACAACTTCCCCACCCATCCCATCCATGCCAACAAGCCTTGAGAATTCAAAGGTGAAGGTCACAGCTCTGGGTTTGTTTTTTTTTTGGTACCGGGGATCGAACTTGGGACCTTGTGCTTGAGAGGCAGGCGGCAGAATCACTGAGCTAAATCCCTGGCCCGAAGCTCTGTTTTGAAGAGATCACAACTTAGTAAAGCTCAAAGGCCAAGCCCAAGGCACCTGGCTAAGACACATCATCCTGGCATCACCAGCAACAGGGGCCAAGACTAGTGAATCCCAGGGAGGAAGGTAACAGGAAATACCTAGCTGGATCTGGGGCCATCCGAGGCTAATCCTTTCTTCCCTCACAGTTGATGCAGGAGGCCTCAGACTGAGGTATCTTTCTTGAGTTGGTTCCAGTCAGGAGCAGGAAGAAAATATGAAGAGGCCTTGCTGAAGAGTGTACAGGGTACAAGTTGGGTCAGAGAAAGTTATTAGGAGACAGATGCTGGGTCTGAATGGCAGGAGCCCTGGAAGGTGGGGTCCCTTGAGTAAGGGAGGAAGCAGGCATGTCTGCAAAATTGTTCCTACATGCAGTTTGGGTACTAGAAAGGTGAGAAATCCAATATGGAGTCTGGGGGCTAAGTTGGGCTGCCCAGAGCAGGAAGACCGTTCACCTGAATGAATATTCATGCTCAGCTCCCAAGGCCACGGGGATGGGTACAGCCGTTCCTGCTGGCAGAAACTTACAGGATGCTCCATGCTTTTCTCTCATCCACAGGACTATGCTCATAGCCTACTCTATGCTTGTCATCTCTCACAGGGCCAGGCTTAGGACCCACAGGACTCTAGAGATAAGAGATGCTGGAGGCGGAGGGGGTAGTTCAGTGGGAAGCATGCTTAGATGAGTGAAGACCTGGATTCAATCCCTACCACCACCACCACCAAAGAGAGACACTGGGCCCAAAGAATCAGCATGCTTTATTAAACCCACTGCACACCAGGGAGGGGCCTGGGCCCTCAAGCCTGGCTACAGGGCTCATCTTTGGATCTGGTGTGGTCTTTTCCATCAGGCCTCTCACTTTCAGTCCAGGTTTCCTGGAGATGGGCCCCTGTTTGTCCCTCTCCTCCAGTCACCAAATGAAACTCTTCCTCCTTCCAGGGACACCAAGGCGTGGCAGGGGCACCTCCATCATCAGTAGAGCCTGAGCTGCTGTCCCACTGGATGGCCTAGGGCTGTGGGTGCCAGCCTACAGGGCTGTCTTGCCAGAAGGACCAGGATTTTCTCAGTGTTCTCGGCTAGCAAGTGGGGGATGATAGGCAGATGTCTGGTGCTCTTTAAGTTCAAAGGCCTCATGGCCCTCCCTGTGAAGCAAAGAGCTAAAGGTCAGGGATCCCGGCGGTCCCTGAGTCCTCCCACAGAACAGTCTACCTGCACCCACCGGAAGCATCGGGCACAGTAGAGGTCTCCGTCACAGCCAGTGCAGCGTAGGGTGGCATCCTCATTGCAGATGCAGCACCAGGGGAGCTCTTCTTCCTCAGCCTCAGGCCTAGGAGCCACAGGCTGGACCTTCAGGCTGGACTGGAAAGAATGGGGGAAGTAAGGTACCCAATGGGAGCAGTCAGCCAGGCAAGGAGGGAAGGCTATAGGCAGCCTGGGGATGTGTCTGGGAGTTTTCTCACCTCAGGCTTTGCCTTCCAGGGTTGGGCTCGGGGTTGGGGAGTCAGCTCCACAGGGATGTTAAAGCCACTTGCCTCATCCAAGGCAGTTTCTTCAGTGAGCTGTGGATAGGGTGGAAAGGTATCATTCCCTGCTCCAGGGGTAGATGCCCCACTCCCAGTAGTTCTGTACAGTCGCTCAACTCTTCTTCCATTACCTCTTGCCTGAGACTTCTGATTCGCATCTCAAGAACTAGGGAGGACCTGGTCACAGGGACAGAGGACTCTATCTAGATACAAGGTGCACAGCGATTGGCTACACAGCCCCAGAGTGAGGCCAGGTGAACAGGGCCAGGCAAGTGGTGCGGTATGAGGTAGAGACAGGACACAGGTAGTTGGGTGGGTAAGCCAGGCCCACCTGCTGCACGACTCTCTGGATGGCTGTCTCCTCATCCTCCTCGTCCTCACCACTATCTGGGAGGCGGTCGTCCTGCAGGGTCACTTGAATAAGGGAGAGATGGGGACAGGGGAAGGAGGAGTGAGGGTGAGAGATTTCACTTCAGTGGCAGTCCTCCTCCCTTCCAGAACTCGTCTGTTTCCCAGGGCACTTGTTCCAGAACTGAGAAGCCTCATTAGCCAGCCTGATCAGACCTTGTCTCTCCCTACCCCATCCTGCAAGGCTGCCCCCCCCCCCCAAGCAGCCCTGAGGAGTGGAGACAGGAAAAGAGGCCTCAGCACCTAAAGGGACTGAAAGTCCGCCTGCCCTTTGAGGGATGCCACTGGTTCTTCATCCACTGCTTTGCCCTAGTCCAGGGATGGCAAACCTTTTAGAGCTTTCAATGATACAAACGGCCTACTATGGCACATGTGCCACCAGTTCACCACCACTGCCCTAGTCCACTCCTCGTGGCTCTGGGCACAGGGATTCCCGGCCCCTGACTCAGTCTTAGCAGGGATAGCTTGTCCCGGGAGAGGGAGGCCTTGACCAATGGGTGTGAGTGAGTGGCTGACTCTAGTCTTTACCTCTGTCGGGGTCCTGTCCCCTCAACACAGCCAGTCGCTTGGCAAGGGCCAGGATCCACTCCTGCCTGGTGTTCTCCTCCCGTAGCTCAACTGCTGCCTCAGCCAGAAGCCTGCTCTTCTCCTCTTCCAGGGACCAGCTGGCCTGGCCCCCGGACTTAGTGTGCTGGGTCCCTGTACCACCCTGGTTGAGGTCATGCTTGAGAGAGGCCACAGCTGGAAAGAGTAATGCATTAGGGAGGCAGAGGCACTCTAAGATCTCTCCCCAGAAGACACTGAGCCTACTTTTCATACATCATCAGATTTTTTTCTCAGTACTAGTACCTATGACTTATATTACAAATAAAAAATTAGTATTTCCATTATTTTTCCAAATGTCTTTCTCATCCATCCCCACCGATACAGGGTAGGTGTCCCAGAGTTTGAGACTCACCACCCTGAAAGATCAGGATATGAGGAAGCCAAAGTGCAGCCAGTCTCTGCCTTTCAGAGCTGGAATTAGCCTTTCTCAGAAGCAGCATAGAGAGGGCCTGAATGAGGCCAAGGTCTTGTACAACACTGGGCAGGAAGAATTTTACAGAGTGGGTGTGGCTCTGCTATGGTCACCTTCAGCCTAAATTTCAGAGCAAGAGATCTGAAACCAGATAGCTTTTGATTTAAAGCCCATCCCTGCTGCTTATGAGTTATGTGACCTTGGTCAAGTTCCTTAAGTTCACCAGGCTTCAGTTTCCTCATCTATAAATAGGAATGATAATAACATATAACTCAAGATTATTGATTCTCAGTGAGATTGTGTAAGGCAGGGTTTCTCAGTCTTAGTTCTACTGACACACTGGAGTGGTATAACTTTGTTGGAGGGAGCTGACCTATGTGTTGCAGGATGTTAGCAGCATTTCTGGCTTCTACCCTCCAGATGCTGACTCTCTTCCCTGAGTTGTGACAACCAGAAAGTCTTTGACATTTACAAAAGTGCCCAGAGGGAATAATCATCCCTGGCTGATGACAACTGCGCTAAAGCCTTCAAATAGCCCCATCCAACAGCATTGTCTAAGACAATGCAAACATTTCATATTGTGTTCTATGTATGCTGTCCAAGACGGCAGCCAGAAGCTCATGTGGGTATTGAACACCTGAAATGTGGCTGACACTACTAAGGAACTGAACTTTATTTTTATTTTTATTTTGTTTTTGGTACCGGGGATTGAACTCAGGACACTGCGCTTGCAAAGCAGGCGGTGGAACCACTAAGCTAAATCCTTGGCCCAGCAACTAAACTTTAAATTGAGTTTCATTTTTATTTTTGGTACCGAGGATCAAACTCAGGACCTTGCGCTTTCGACGCAGGTGAGTGCCACTGAGCTAAATCCCCGGCATGAAATTGAACTTAATTTTCAACAGCCTGTTCCTTTTTTTTTAAAGCAGTGGCAGAGTTTATTTGAGAAAGTAAAAGTGAAAAGTGGGAGAGAAGCTGGCTCTGCAGAGCAAGCTTGGGCTCAGTAAAGAAAAAAAGAGAGACAGGAGCTGGGGATTTAGCTCAATAGTTCCACCACCTGCCTTGCAAGCGGAAGGACCTGAGTTCGATCCCTGGCGCCAACAAAACAAAACAAAACAAAAAGAGGGAGAGAGCAAAGATAAAATACATGCTGCATCTGGGAAACACAGCGTGGGCTATCATGGAAAGCTACCATAGCCATCCTTCTTATCATCATCACCATCACTGCAGAGAATACTCTCTGAGCACTCACTATGAGCCAAGTGCTTACTGGATGATCTCAATTCCTCCTCCATTTAGCCATGAGGTAGGTTTTAACATATACATGCACTTTACACATGAGGAAAGTGACTTGCCCATAGTCACAGAGCTAGTATGTGATAGAACTGGAATATACTGTCTGGTTCTAAAGTCCATGTATTTAACCACAAGGCCTACACTGGCTTCCTTTGGAGTATTCAATAAATGGTAACCCTTGTGATACTGATCGCTCTTATTTTTATTTTTAATTTTTTCTTTTTTGTGGTACCAGGGATCAAACTCAGGACCTTGTGCTTGCCAGGCAGGTGTGGCACCACTGAGTTACAACCCTGGCCATTGATCACTCTGACTTATATTCATCTCCCCAAAGGGTGGATAGCAGAGCATCTCCCATCTGGGAAAAGAGGAAGGCTATGTCCCTGGAGGAGCCAAGTAGAGGGGATACCTGTGTCTCCTCGTTCCCAGCTTTCATCAATAGCCACCTCAGCTGCCAGCTGTGTTAGCAGATCCTGTGACTGCTGAGCCTGGGTCCTGGTGTCTGGTGTCTGATGTTCCTGCCCAGAGGAGAGAACCTCAGTGGGGAATGTGGGAAGGGGAAAGCTATACTATAAGGCCTAGAAGCAGTCTAGGTCAGGCGTGAATGTGAGAAGTTCTCAAAGTCTAGGGAAAGGAGACTAATTCAAGGCCCATAATCAAGTAGGTCTGGCAGACCCCAATAGGACTGAACATCTACTCTTTTCTGACCCAGTCAATCCTGTGCTTGTCACTTGTTCCTTGGCCTGGCAACAGACCTGAGGCTCAGGAGGTAGGGGTGAAAGGCTTATCAACTTCTGCAAAGTACATGACCAAACATGTATCTGGCCTTCTGTGAGGTCCTTGCCTAGGAATCTCTTCCCTCCCAAACCATACCACTCACCGGCCAAGGGGTCTGAGAAGGTGGAGCTCTGCCCTGCAATGCTGCAAGCCGACTCTCCATCTCCTGGGTGGAAGGGATGGGACCCCAGGGTTCATCCTTCAGTGCAGCCAGGCGTGCCTCTATCTCTGCCTGTGAGGGCACTGACTCTGCAATTGGCAGCGGGAGGGAGATCCTTGTAAGGACCAGAGGAATCCCAGTGCCAGAAGCCCCAGTCTGTCTTTCTGGCCATCCTGCTTGCTCCCACTCACTGGACGTGTTCTCCTGGCGGAGCCGTGCTAGGCGCTCAGTGATGACTTGGTCTTGCTGGGTCAGTCCTTGGCTCTGGGGAGCGCTGGGCTTCTGCTTGGCTTCCAAGGCTGCTATACGCCTGGAAGGATATAAGACACAGGCTCTCAGGGCCAGGGATTTAGCTCAGTAGTTCTGGTGCCTGCCTCACAAGCACAAGGTCCCGAGTTCGATCCCTGGTACCAAAAAAAAAAAAAAAAAAGATACAGGCTCTTGAAGACAGAAGGGAGGGCTAAAGGCATCTACTCAGTTTCCTATCAAATTATTTCTGCATATCTAGGGAGGCCTCCAGTGGGCAATCTTCCATGGCCCTTGCTTAGGTTACTGTGCAACTCAACCCAGGTGATCAGGCCCAGGGTCTGGTTGAGAGGCCAAGATTTACCAAAGGCTTTTCTAGGGAGAGGGCTGCTGAGCTGTTTTCTGAGCACAAATGGGCAGTCAACAGCCTGAGAGGCAGGTATTCTTTTTAAAAAAAAATTTTTTTAAAGACAGGGTCTCACTACATAGCTCAGGCTGGCCTTGAACTCACAGCAATCCTGCTGCCTCAGTCTCTCAAGTGCTGGGATTACAGGCAAGTGCCACCACGCCAACTCGAGGTGGGTATTCTAACTCTGCATTCATTTGATCTAGACTAGAAGAGTTCTACCCATGGCTCCTGTGTCCTTTCTCCATGCCCATTTTTCTTTTTATCTTTAGTACTTACTTCTTATAGTTCTGAGGTGGTGACCACTTGGAGGCACTGGCAGGAGAAGACCCTCTATAGAGAAGCAATTGGGCATTAGAAATCTTGCGCTCCCACCAGTCAGGGTGCCCCTTCCCAAACACTACCTGAGCTGACCTCTGATGGACTGGCCAGATGTCCACTACCATGCTCAGCTGACCCCTCACCCATGCCAGCCTCTCACCTGGTCAGGACCTCGTGGCATTGCTTGCAGACTTTCTGTTGGGTGTTGCCAGTTCGGGGAACCATTGCACTGAAGCTAAGGCAGCCAGAACAGAAGGCCCGGCCACAGTTCTTACAGCCATACTACAAAAAAACATGAAGCAGGAGGATCCACTTCTCACCCTGCTCTGTAGGCTCCTCCCTAGGACTCTCAAGCACATGCAGAGAGAGGACCCTGAATTGTGACCAGCTGCTGGGAAGAACAGTGGGACCCCAAGCTCTAGGGAGAGACTGGACAGACAGTAAAGCAGTTCCTTGGTTTCCAGTTTCTTATCCAAGTCACATAAAACTTTCAGCAAAATTGCCATGCTTCCTATCATCTTCAATTCCCGGCCATGGGCAAAGCCTTGTGCTTCAGGCTACGGATTCTTCAACAAAGGAGAATTTTGAGAGTGCAGGGCCCATGCCTTTTCTGCCCTGGTAGAACTTGACTCAGAATGGGATGAGTGAGAACAATAGCTACCATTAAGCACTTACTGTGTGCCACGCACTAAGTTTAGTACTTAACATTCATCATCTGATTTAGCCCTTGCAATCTACACACACTGTCTTATCTAATCCTGATGTCCACCATTACTTTCCCTATTTTAGTGGAGGCCTGAGAAGTTACATGACTTGCTCAAACTAAGGTCATCCTGTAAGACAGCAGAGGTCAAACTTGAACCTACTCCAAAATCCCATCATCTAAGTGCCACCTGGTCCTGCCTCCCTACCTGGCATCAATTCATCCCATCTGGTTCCATCATCTTCTGGTCAGATGCTCTGGCCACAAGCGAGGTACTGAAAACTGAAAGCCTGCAGTTTACCAGGAGAACCTGACAGGTCTGTCTTAACAAGAAAGCCTCTGCCTTAGTGCCCCGGGGACAGGAGGAAAGGTAGTTACTGAAAAGACCTGGGCAAAGGCAGGCTGTGGGATGGGAGAGGTTTCAGAGCAAAGGGCACAATATGATGATCAGGGTCACGGGATACTAAAGACCACTCTGGGGAGGAAAAGGTTGAGGAAGACGACAGGTGGGTGCTACGCTTGGGAGACTGAAAATGACAACAGCACGCTTTACAACGCACAAGGGGTACTTTCACCTCCAGCCCCTTTGGACCCTCACATCGGACCCCCAAAAAGAGGAACCTTAGCCTCACTTTGCAGAAATGGAAACTGAGGCTCAATGACTTCATCAAAACCACACTGCTGAAAAGAGGCCGTAAAAGCGGGGCTTTGCACTGTAAATCCCACGCTTTTCCCGGTGCTCCTCGTCCTCCCTGGCCCTCCAGCCCTGGGGAGAAGACTTGCCTCCTTCTTGAAGAGGGTGAACTTGACAGCGCACCCGTAACACCTACTCTCCATTGTGTCGCCGAGCGTAGCCAGCGTAGCCGGTTCCGCGAGGCTGAAGTCGGGCGGGCCACACCTCGGTCCCTCACACTCTCACCCCACCAGCCCCGCCTGGCCCCTCACTCCCACTCCAGCGGTCCGGCCGCGGCCCGGGGGGGGGGGGGGGGGGGGCGGTGTTTCTCAGAGTGCGGAGCGGGTGGGAGCGGGGGCTTTTGGGAGTCGTAGTTCACTTGCGGCTGCGCGTTCCCTCAGAGTCAGGTCGGAACCGGAACCCAGTGTTTCCCAGGGGGCTAAGCGACATGCGGCCAGCCAGGAGTCAGCACCCTTCGCGCTTGGGCTCATGGGAGTTGTAGTGCGAATCCAGTCAGAGCGGCAGCCATGGCGGTGACCAAGGAGCTCTTACAGATGGACCTGTACGCGCTGCTAGGCATTGAGGAGCAGGCGGTGGACAAAGAGGTGAGAACGGTGGCGAGGAAGGCAGATCCAGAACGGCCTAACGGCCCTTCCTGTCCAGGCGCCTTGCTCGCTGCGGGCACCAGTTCTCTAGGTTTGGCTAGGTTCTGGGCGGGGAACGTGGGGCGGCCCTACGGTCTCAAAAGGCTGGCGCTCAGATCCTTCCTGGACAGTCTGAGGGACTCACGAGGAGAGTGGCACCAAAGGCTCCTCGCGCCGGGTGGCTGTCCTCTCTCTGTGCCTGCTGTTTGGGAGAGGCGAGGGTGAGCATGAGAGGGAAGCCTGACCTCTTCTTTCCGCCTGTGCATCCTGAGCCTCCTAGTCTACTTCTGCCCCACTGGGGCGGTTTTTTTTTTGTTTTTTTTTTTAATCTCTTACAGGCTGATTTAGCACCGCGTAAAATCTAGAGTGGAAGAAAGATCAGATTAGAACGCTCCTCCACTACCTCTTCATCCCCAGTTTGGCAAGACCCTGCTGTCTCTAACCAATTGACCCTTTTCAAGTGCCGGATATTCAGGTGTTGTCCTCGGAATGCGCTAGTTAGTGGGCCAAAAAGGGTATCAGAAAGGTATGGCAAGTGTGGATCAAGGGGCTGGGGGTGACACTGATCAAGGTGTACATGATGTTTCTGTTATTTCCCTCTGATTCATAGTGATAGTTGAAACAGTATAGACAGAGGAAGCTGATAATTTGTCGGATAAAAATGAGTGCCCATCAGTGCCCCTGTACTTCTGGACTGCCCTGCTCGAGGGCTGAGTGAGATTTCAAGAGGAAGTTGTGGGATCCAGGTGGTGGCACACTTCTGTAATCCCAGCATTCTGGGAGGCTGAGGCAGGAGAGTCGAAAATTTGAGCTCAGCCTGGGAAATTTAGGGACTTACTGAGACCCTGTCTCAAAATCAAAAACTGGGCTAAGGAATGTAGTGCTGGATTCAAACCCCAGTACAGCCAAAAAAAGTCCCATAGTGTTATCTATGAAGTACCAAATGCACCTACTACACCTGTCTCGTAAGTCTTTAATATTTCAGTATTAATAATGCTGAACATCTATATAATGTTTATTATGTACTAGATACTAAGAGTGTGTACAGTCCGTTTTGTCTAAAACAAAACAACAGAAAAAGTAAAAGAAGATAAACCTTGAAATGTAGGTGGCATCTTGAGAAAGACCTTACTAGTTACTGCTTATTCTCTTTCTCGTCAGCCAGTTTTCCTTTCCAGCGTTTATTTCCATTTTCACTTTGGATACATTGGCTGATTTCATGGTGAGAGATACTTTTGGGCAAAAAGTAAGGGAAAATCTAGGGCTTAGTAGGTGCTAGTGTCCCTTTCTTTGGTTTATTTATTTATTTTTAATGTAAAAGAAGAGGATTTATTTGAAGATGGGAAAGGAGGAAGAGAGAGATGCCAGGCACTTACTCTGGACCGGTAGGGAGTATTTGAAAGTGAATTGCTCCCTTTCCTTTTGTTTGTTTGTTTGTTTGGTTTTTCTTGAGACATGGTCATGTGTAGTTCAGGCTGACCTTGAACTCACTATGTAGCCCATGTTGGCCTCGAACTCATGGTAATCCTCCTGCCTCAGTCTCCCAAGTGCTGGGACTACAGGTGTGTGCCAACATGTCCAGCCTTTCCTTGGTTTAATAAATGTTATGTTCTCTAAGGAACCTAGGGGGCCAAGAAATGTTTAAAGTGTATACAAGGAAGGCCTCCTAAACTTTGGTTGTCTGGCCATGTAACATAGTAGTTGCCCCATTCCACATATAAGTGACATCCTGCAGTATTTTTCTCTCTGTGTCCGGTTTATTTCATTTAACACAGTGTCCTTAGGGTTCACCTATGTTGTCTCAAGTGTCAGAATCTCCTGCTTTTTTTTTTTTTATATTGGGGATCAAACTCAGGACCTTGTACTTGTGAGGCAGGTGGTGGCACCACTGAGCTAAATCCCCGGCCCGAGAATCTCCTGCTTTTTAAGACTGAATATTCCATTGTGTGTGTGGTTGGTTCCATATCTTGGCTGTTGTGAATAGTGCTTCAGTGAACATGGGAGGGCAGATATCTTTAGGAGTGATAGTTTTCCACGTAGGAGTTCTTTTTTATTTTAAGGCTTTTCATTCCCTGTTTATTATCAGTGCTACAGTAGAACATTTTGTAATGACTTGTGAGTGACATGTGGACACCGACAGTTTTTTCAAGTACTAAGTGCCAGTGTTTTCTGGTGAGTACTGATTTTGCCCAGACGAAATAACCAAACATAATACAAAACTGGGAGATTGTGATAACATTGGCATAATCCACCCAAATTACAAAAATGGCAATACTTAAAATCATGCACGTTATTTCAACATTTCATAAAACATTTTAAATTTCTACATACTGTCCTGTTGTAAAACAACTCCTCAAAAACTGCATGATAATATTAAACTACAAAATTCACTTTGGAATGTAGGAAGTTGTTGTCTTTTATGAATTGGTTAAAAAATATGGTGAGGAGTGTATTGAGAAAAGTGGAGAAAAACGAGTTTTCAGTTGATAGATTCAGCATGTCTGAAAATACTTCAGTTGGGTACAGTAAAAAGAAAACTTCAACACCAACAATACATTATAAATAAGAGTCTTAAACTGGCCTTGGTGGCCTGTGCTTGTAATCCCAGCACTTGGGAGGCTGAGGCAGGAAGATCGCTGCAAGTTCAAGACCAGCTTGGACTACACAGCAAGACTCTGTCTCAAAACAAACAAACAAATTTAAAAAAGAAAAAGTGGGCTGGGGATTTAGCTCAGTGGCACTGCGGCGGCCTTGCGAACGCAAGGTCCTGAGTTTGATCCCCAGTACCAAAAAAAAAAAAAGAGAAGTCTTGTGGCAAAGTGGACACATAAACAGTTCTTGTATCAATTGTACCCAAGGGAGAGAGGTCTTCTCCAAAGACACTTGTTATAGACCTTCAATGATTTATCTTTTTTTTTGGTTTTTTTGAAGCAGGATCTATGCCTATTTTTTAAAATTTTGGAATAGGATCTTGCTAATTGGAAAGTGGCCTAGGCTGAACTTGAACTTGTGATCCTCCTGCGTCAGCCTCACAGAGTGCTGAGATTACAGGCATCTGTCACTACATCCAGCTAAGAAACTTTTGTATGTGTGGTGCTGGGGACAAATACAAGGACCTCAGCATGCTCAGCATTCACTCTTCTACTGAGCTATGCTGAAGACCCCTGTAGTTAGGTTCCAGTACCTACCTGCCCAGTGTGTGACACACGCCTGAGAAAAAGAATACACTGAGAGACAGAACTAGGAGAGAAAGCGGGGTGCCAGGACGACCAATGTCAGTGCAACCAACAAAGGCACTGGAGAGTCCCAGGCACTGACTTTTATTGGCAGTCAATTGGGGTAAAGGTGACATGTGGTTTCTATGGAAATTAATGTAAAAACAAGGCTCACAAAGGACAAGACAAAGCATTCTCAAATTAGGAACAGAATAGACTAAATATATGATTGTAATTGGAACATTGTCCTTCTAGTCTGAAGGTTTAGTTGTGGGAACAGAATTTGGGTGTGAGTTACTACTCTGACCTCAACATGTAGGCTTCAGCCAGACTCACTTCCATAAACAAGCCAATTGTAGGGTTAACTCTTCACAGCCTGCTTTGGGCGTAATCAATATTACAGCCCTCTGCAGAGCTATGCCACCAGCCCATAGATAGTTTTATTAAATACCTACTGGGTGCCAGTCTCTGTGCCTGGTGCTAGGGATGTCCATGTTAAAATAAAGAGCCCACTGTAATCTCTTCTTTGGACCCTTAGTAGAAGCTAGCATGGTTAATTTTCTTAGAAGTTTACCTTTTCTAATTGGAAGATGGTTTACTACAGAGATGCAGAGTGTACTTGATGTGGAAAGTAACAGTTTTGATATCTAATTTTTTTCTCTTTTTCTTTTTTTGAAACAAGGTCTTGCTTTATAATTCAGGCTGGCCTTGAACTTACTGTGTAGCCCAGGTTGGCCTCAGACTCATGGCGGTCCTCCTGCCTCAGCCTCCTGTTGATATCTAATCTTAAGTGAGGCCAAGAATTATTGCTTGTTGCATCTATTTTGTGTTAAAAATGGATAAAAATCATAATGTAGAACATTGGGCAGTGCTGAGAATTGTGCCTTGATGATTGCTTTTGTACTCACCAGCTGTTACAGTTAAGAAGGTGGACTTTGAGTCAGGAGTGGTGATACACGCCTGTAATCCCAGTACTCTGGGAAGCTGAGGCAAGGAGTATTTCAGGTTTGAGCCCAGCCAGGACAGTTTTGTGATTTAGCAAGACCTTGTCTCAAAATAACATAAAAAAGATCTGGGAATGTAGCTCAGTGTGAAGTCCTTGAGGCCAATCTCCAGTGCTGCAAAAAAAAAAAAAAAAAGAGAGAGAGAGGACTGTAGTCAGGCTATGTGGCTGTTAGCTCTATGACTTGCCTGGCTGGTGATCCTGAGCAAATATTTAACTTCTTTG